TTCTCTCATTTTGCCCCGTGCTCCGAAAAAAAGAAATCACTCATTACCCCCATCCACACTCAACGGGGGGAATGGATGAATCTTCAGTGCTGGCTACTGTAGAGTTGTCAGATTGCCCGAACGAAGCCTGCATCTAATTGAATGCCGGCACCATTCAAAAAAAAAATTTCCATCTGGTTATTTCAACAAAAGTCAATTGAAAAATCAACTTTTGTTGACCTGGGTGGTGCCGACTTTACTGCATCTGGAACAAAATTTAGCACAAAACAGGTGATATTCAATTACTGTATGGCCAGTGTAAAGTGATTGTAAAGTAATTTTTTTTAAAATTAAAATACAAAAAAGGTTATACTTTACAGCATCTGCTCTGTGGAATGGTGTTACACATAGCAGTCCCTTACCTCCTCTCCCCAGCTAGTGCTGTCTGCTCCTTCTCTCTTCCTGGTGCCCCCTCAAGCAAGTGTGGTGCTGAGGGGGGTACCTGTGCATGCGTGTTCCCGGTCCGGGCTGTGTGCGTCTATAGAGACACACAGCACCAGTAAGCCCTGTCCCCTCTCACTCCTCAAAGGAATTTGACTGACTACCACTCCCACCGCTCTCAGACTCTCCTGTGAAAGCAGAAAAAAGTGAGATCGGTGCTGCACCTGGAAACTGCACTAGATCGTGGCAGGAGGTAGGTAAGTGTTAAGGGATGGGAGGCAACAAGTAATGGCGAGTTTTTTACCTTAATGCTGAGAATCCATTAAGGTAAAAAACTATTGATTTTAGAAACCACTTTATGGTAAGTCCCTGCTGAAATGAAAACACCTTGTGGTGTCTGCAAGTATCTGTGTCAAGGCTGCCATAAACAGCTTGAATTTTGGCTGCTTCCTATTGAATTGACCAAAATTCGAGCAGTAGGTGACCCTATTTGCACCCCCTGACTTGAAAAAGTTGATTTTCCAACTAAGTTTTGTCAGATGAGTTGGGTGGAAACAATGACTGCATCCAGTCAGATGCAAGGAAGATTCCTCAATGCACACTGTTTAGCATGGATGTAGAAATTTTGTTCAGTCCATGCTCAGGAACAGGATATGCATGCAGACACCCTTTGAAGAAGTTCCCTACCAGGGACGTAACATGTAAGGACGGAGCCTGTTGTCTGACACCATCGCCTTCTTGAGTACATCCATTCAGCCATTATGACTCTTGGCGGCAGTGAGAGCGGTGCATTTGTGTGTTTATTGTTCCTGATCCTCATCGCAACCACATGGAAGAAAAATATATTTGAACTATATTTTAAAAAATATTCTTCCCACATATATTGACATATATTTGAAATACTACAATTATGGCCATATTCAATATATTTCAAAATATATTTAAATATATATATATACACTGCATTTTGAAATGCGTTTTTTTAATATATTACAAAATATATGAAAGATATTTAAAAAAATATATATTTTTTAAATATATTCTTCAGATTTTTTTAACTACTAAAAATGTCATTTTAACATATATTTTGACATATATTTGTAAATGCATTCCAAAAATGTAGATTTGTATTTTTAAAGACATACAGTATATTTGAAATGTATTTTAAAAATATGTTTCATATATTTTGTAATAAGAACGCATTTCAACGTTTCAACATGATATATATTTTATATATATATATATTTATTGACATATATTTTGAAATATGCAATAAGGTAAAAAATCTTCTGGGTGCAGCTTTCCCCTCAGCCCCCCTCCCCCACACTTACCAGAGTCCATCTTGCTCCAGCAATGTGCATGAGAGCTATGGCTCTCCTGGGTCTCTCTCTCCTTATTGGCTCACACAGCAGCAGGAGCCATCAATTGGTCATTCAGTCACAGCCAGTGAGCCAATGAGCAGAGAGCGGGGTGGGGCCAAGCAGTGCTCTGTGTGTGAATGGACAATATCCAATCACAGGCGCGCCACTTGGGAGTGAGCCTGCTCTAGCGCATAAGAAGAAACTTGCTATTAGGGAACTCAGCAGGGGGAGGATCCAGGACTGCCAGCCGGGGGGACCAAAAAAAAAAAGATCGGTGCAAAACCATTGCACAGAGGTAAGTATAACAGGGTTTTTTTTTTTTTTCATTCATTCCAACCTTTATGCAGGCCATACATGGATCAAATTCCACACAAATTTTCTTTAGAAAATCAGAATTTTGTAATTTGATGGTGCCACCATTGATTTTGAAATTCGACCAACCAAGCCTTCAATTTCACCTCCTGTTGCTACAAAAAAGAATTTTCGTGGCCAAGAATTTTCTTTTCTTTCCAGGTCCCAGCTAAGGCTTATTTCTTTTTCATTTACATTTTTTGCATGATTCTTCCATGATTGATTCAAAATTCATTAATTTTTCAAAAAATTTCCAACATGCCCGATCACTCAAATTCGATGGTTGCACAAACATCGGTCGTTTCTGTGGCCCACTAATGGTGCGAAATTCGAACGAAAATTCTTAGAAAATATTTTTGAAAGAAAATTCTTTTGGAATTCAACCCATGTATGGCCGGCTTTAGAGTCACTTTAACACTTGATATGCTGGATGTTTATACACTTATGTGAGATGTGAGTGCATTTGGAAGCTTTTTTTAATAAAGTCAGTTAAAAAGGAGAGCACTATATGTGTTTTTTATGGTTCTAAGGGAGCTATGAATAAGGGTCAGTCTCCTTGGAGGCTAGTATTTGGAAGCTCTACCTGGGAAGTTGCTGTTGAAGCTGGAAGTGTTCACTACCATCCGTCTTACTTACCTGATGCCTAGTTAGATTTCTCAGAATTTGGAGGTCAGTATTAAAGTGGAAGTAAACTCTACATGGCACCTTTTACCTCCAGGTACGTCTGTAATAAGGCTTACCTGTAGGTACTGTAAATATGTCCTAAACGTGCTCCATTCAGGAGGTATTTACTGTAGTGACATCACTGGCGCATTTGCACGGTGCTCTTAATAGACGGCACGCCAGTATCAGAATACCCGCCGCAGTCCCGCTATAAGTCACTGATCGCCGCCATTACTAGTATAAAAAAATAAAAATTCCAGTATATATACTGCCATTTGTAGACACTATAACTTTCACATAAAGCAATGAATTTACACGTATCGGGATTTTTTTGTAGCAAAGACATGTAGCAGAATACAGGTTGGCCTAAATTTATGATGACATTTATTTTTAATATGTGTTTACTGGACATGTTTAACCACTTGCCTACCGGCACTTATACCCCCTTCCTTACCAGGCCAATTTTCAGCTTTCAGTGCTGTCGCACTTTGAATGACAATTGTGCGGTCATGCAACATTGTACCCATAAGAAATTTTATCATTTTTTTTCTCACAAATAGAGCTTTCTTTTGGGGGTATTTACTCACCGCTGGGTGTTTTAATTTTTGTGCTATAAACAAAAAAGAAGAGCAAAAAATTTGAAAAAAAAAAAGTTTCTTTGTTTCTATTATAACATTTTGCAAACAGGTAATTTTCCTTCTTCAATGATGTGCGTTGATGAGGCTGCACTGATAGGCAGCACTGATGGGCACTGATAGGCACTACTGATGGGCACTGATGGGCACTGATAGGCAGCACTAATAGGCAGCTCTAATGAGGTGGCACTGATAGTCGGCAATGATAGTCGGCACTGACGGGCACTGATAGTCAGCACTGATAAGCTGGCACTGATGATGGGTACTGATAGTCGGCACTGATAGGCGACACTGAGTGGCAGCACTGACTGGTGGCACTGACTGGCACTGGTGGGTGACACTGGTGGGCACTGCTGGGCACTTGTGGGTGGAACTGGTGGGTGGCACTTAACTTCTTTAGATAGGATTCCACACCCACATGAGTAACAAAGGCTTTGACTTTAGATAGTTGAATGAATAGGGGTGGGGCTTATTCCAGAAGGAGGTGGGGCTTAATAATGACTTGGATGGAAATGGAGGTCATGTGTTGAGCTTGGACCTACGATACAAGTGCCTTCATAGGTACACAGGGATTGAATTCAAGGCCTAGTTGGGGGCTCTAATGTACCCCAAGGTGTTTTAGGAAGGTTGATAACTTAGTCCAGGTCAGGTTCACTTTAAGTCCTTATTCATTAATAACTTTTCAAGTAATATTCTGAAATCCTAAAGTGACTGCTCAATGGGATGTCCTGGTCTTACTCACAAGATCAGTCCCATTGTTGTAATAAGAAATACTGCTTCCCAGCATCCCCTATAGAAATTCATTTCTTTCAGATGAAATATTCCATGCAACAGGCTGCTAGAATTTGAGTTCAAGCAATATGTAAATTTCTGGAAGGGGCTGTAAGAAGCAAAGAGATGCAGCAGAGAGGAGAAATTTGAATTCTTTTGACAGTAAGAAAACCATAACGTACTGTGGACTGAAGCAGAAAGATATTATTATTAACATTGAATGACTAAATGGAAATGCAACTTTAGATTCATTTTTATTAAAACAATCCTCGTAATTTAAAAAGGAACTAAACCACTTTGATTTAACTTTTTCCCCAAACAGTTCCATTTAAGGTATGCCATGAATGAGAGCTGTCACAGTTGCTTGTTCTGTCAAGCCATCAATTGGCTGGTGTCATAACTGATCTAATATGGAAAAAAAAAAAAGGAAAATGAGCAGTATGTTCACCAGACTGCTTTAAAGTGCAACTAAACAGTATCTGAGCATAAAAAATTGAAAATGTTTTTTAAATCTTTTTAAATATTAAAATAAAACATACCCATGCATCCATGTCTCTATGCTTTAGTCAGTTGTCTCCAAGCTGCAGCCCAGGAGCCAGATGCGGTCATTTGATTGCTTTTATCCAGCCCTTGGGACATTATTTGCCCCACTGTTCACAAACGTGGTGCATGGTTCCTGCCACTGACACCGACAGTGGGGCACTATTCCTCCCACTGACAGGAATGATGGGGCACTATTCCTCCCACTGACACCAATGATGGGGCACTATTCCTCCCGCTGACACCAATGATGGGGCACTATTCCTCCCGCTGACACCAATGATGGGGCACTATTCTCCCACTGACACCAATGATGGGGCACTATTTCTTCCCACTGATACAATGATGGGGCACTATTCCTCCTGCTGACACCAATGATGGGGTACAATTCCTCCCGCTGACACCAATGATGGGGTACAATTCCTCCCACTGTTACCAATGATGGGGCACTATTCCTCCCACTGACACCAATGATGGGGCTCCATTCCTCCATTGATACCAAGGATGGGGAGCTATTACTCCTCTAATACCAATGATAGGGCACTATCCCTCCCACTGACACCAATGATGGGGTGCTATTACTCCCCTAATAACAAAGATGGGGCATTGTTACTCCCACTGATGCCAGGACATATTCTTCTCCCACTGGCCACATTTATAATATATAATATATTATAAAAAAAAAAAAAAATGTGCTGCGCTTCACTCACTCATGCTAAGTTCAAATAATAAACACATCCATGTACTTCTATTAATAATAAGTGCCAAAAATACTACATTAAATAAATAAATCAACCAATCAGTAACCAAAAGCAATGTCCATATACGTGTCAAAAAAAAGTCCATATATACTTCTTCAGAAATACGTGTTCCCTTAAAATGAAATGAACATCCAGTGCTTCTTAATTGATCTCCTGTGTGAAAATAACCTACATTTGTGTGCTCCCCCATCGGTTGTGCTCCCCTCTCAGAAACATGACCAAACCGTTAGGTGAGGTCATATAACGCTTGTGTCCCTTTAAATGGGCCACATTGTGGATGGGATGGTATCCTTCTGTTTGGGATCCCCCTTCACTCGATCAATAGTCTCTCCTTCCACAGTAGCTTATATAAAAGGAATAATCAATTCCTAGTGTTTTATCCTTTTAAAAAACATTTTATTAATAAAATGTGTTTGGCCGCACCAAGAGGTTAACCTCCCTAGCGGTCTGATTATGTCCATATTTCTGTGCTCAAAGCGGTACATTTTATTGCAAGGAAATTTTTTTTTTTTTTTTTTATTGTAGGCTGTAATTTTTAGGAATAACTCACTGAAATCTGTCCGAACAAGAGTCTAGTAAACATCCCGGGTATGATAAAATTTGAAACATGAAATCATAAATTATAATTTAATAAATAATCATAAAAAATAATAATAATATAATAATAATAATAAATTTAATTCAATAATATAATCAAACCAAAAACACTGAAATTTGAAATATAGCGCCAAGTTCGCACATCACTGAGTGAAGTCGCAGAATTGTTTTCAGTGTCTGATGACGAATTTCCCCACAAATCATTATCACTCAATTCTGCAAGTGGTTCTAATTTACTATCGCTGTTCTCTAGCTGGTCTAAAACCGCTTTTGACCTAAAGGGACGCTTTTTGGACGCCATGGACGTTTCTCAGTTTCCAGGTAGAAAGAACAGTAAAAATGCAGGCAGGGCACAGGACAAAGCACTCGGGACAAAATGTATGTGAAATGGTTTGATACAGTAATGTTTTACTATGAGATTTTAGTGAATGTTACTTTTTGTCATTTTACATTTCCTGCCAGTTCCGTCCCCCTGTATGTCCCGACGCTCGCAGGGGACGGAACCCAGAAGACAGATGACCGGCATCTGCCAGATTGCATTGCCGGGGACACTGCAGGGGGGACATCGCAGGAGCGCAAGACAAGGTAAGTGAAGAACAGATCCCGGAGCAGCGCTGTAAGGTACTCCTGAGTGTAGCTCGGGGTTATCGCTTTTGGTACTGAAACTTTACCCCGAGCTACACTTGGGAATACCGCCAGGGAGGTTAAAGGATGCCTTGACCGAAAAAAGGTTGAGAAACACTGCTCTGGACTATTCATCACTTATATAGCAGCTCACATGTCTTCACTTTTATAAGTAAATATATTATACCTATTTACTAATCCTAGCAGTATAAAGATTCCACATTTAGCAGAGAAAAATCTGCTGGCTTGTGCTGTGTGACATGGCTAGGTAAATCTCAGAACTGGATGAACAGAACAAAAAAATCATTTACCGGGCAAAACAGCTCTCCTATGTTTTTTCCATCTGTGTATTGCCCATTCAGCCTTTCATTGACAAGAACATGTTTTATTAGTACATATGGAGCAATGCAGATAGAACATTGGAACAGTTTCATTGGTGGGGAGGTAAGGGAAATGCTGGATTCATTTATGATCATATGCAATCTAACCATATCCCCCTTGCCAGCACAATGCCTAGACACATAATGAAGTTACTGTTGTGGAGACTGATCAGACGCAGGTTCCAGCAAGAAGACAGATTCATAATTGTCTTCATAATAACTTCATCTATAATATACTGCCAGGTAGTTAAAGCCTCCATTGACTCTGGTCCAGTGTTCTGATGTGGCTTCCTGGTTTGCTCAATCATTTCATGCCTGGCTTGCCTGTTCTAAAGAGACGATCTGTAAAACGTTTCATCCTATGATACCTCGTCGTGAGTAACATTTCCAGCGAAAGGTCATAATGACTGCACTGTGCAGCCGGCCCCTTCCAAATATCCCCTCCAACCACTTTCTCTACACCTCCTCCCCAATTAAGGTTCCATTTCCTGCGCCGTGCTTTCCCTATCATTTCCCGGTGATGTAATGGTCTTGTGTTCCAGCCCCGGTTATTAGAAAATCACTTTCCGCCACACAGTGCTCTCTCTCTTCATTACGTTTTACTATCCTGTTTTCCAACTGAATAAGCATTTTCGACACCCTTCAGTCGTTCACTTTCATTTGTTGTCTTTTCTGCTCGTTTTACATCTGTGCTGGTGCTTAGTGTGTTTACACAGATGACTGACGCCTCCACTTTGCTCTACGGTGAAATGGTCCAGCTACTTGGCACTACAGATACAGCTGGTTTGTACATATCTCTCTTTACAGCACAGGTGTCAAACACAAGGCCCGTGGGCTGAATCTGGTCCTCCAGGCCATTTCATGTGGCCCTTGCACCTCTCCTGCAATTACCCCCTTGTCTCTGCCTCCTCCTTGTCTCAGCAGTCAGCAGCAGAGAGGAGAATAGAACTCCTCCACCAGATCCGGCACCTCTCAGTGCAGCTGCAGCACCCCCTCATCCCTGCCTCCTCTGGTCTCAGCATTCAGCAGACTCTGGTAACTTACTCCTCTTCTGGTCCTCCTCCAGACCCTGCACTTTCTGCTTTCCAGCTCTGCCCCCAAAGGGGGTACATGGTGATGTTAGGGAGGGTGTGGGATTCTTGACATCTGATGTAATGGGGGGTAGGGTGCTCTGGACATCTAGTCTTATTGATACAACCAGCCCTTTGAGGGCAACCATAATGCTGATACAGCCCTCAATGAAATGGAGTTTGACATCCCCGATTTACAGGAAAAATATATTTACTATTATTATTATACAGGATTTATATCGCGCCAACAGTTTGCGCAGCGCTTTACAAAATGAAGGTAGACATTACGTTTCCAATACAATTTGGTACAAGAGGAAACAGAGGGCCCTGCTTGTTAGAGCTTACAATCTAGGAGGAAAACTTTTAACCCATTCTTTGTCCTCATCCCCAAGTCAAACGCTCCTCCATTCTGCTTTTGTCACCAAGCAATACTAATTATATGTACCCTCGTAGACTCAGGACTTTTTTCAGCTGGAACATGCACATCAAGCACTGAATGTATGTAATGGTACTGGGGGGGGGGTGCTGGAGGGTCTATTGATGCTGGCTGCCAGGAGATCTATTGTCCCTGGAGGGGATCTATTTTTTTGTTGGGGTCTATTGTTACTGGGGAGGTCTGTTGTTACTGGTGGGAATCTATTGTTGCTGGGGGATCAATTATTTCTGGGAGTGATCTACTTTGGATGGGAAGGTCTGTCGATGCTGACTGCAGGAGAGTCTATTGATGCTGGTTGCTGGGAGATCTGTTGTTGCTGCTGAGAGTCTATTATTGTTGCAGAGGGTCCATTTTTGCTGGCAGGTCTATTGTTGCTGGGGATCTATTTTTGTGTTGGGGTCTATTGTTGCTGGGAGGTCTATTGTTACTGGTGGGAATCTATTGTTGCTGGGGGGTCAATTATTTCTGGGAGGGATATACTGTGGGTGGAAAGGTCTGTCGATGCTGACTGCAGGAGGGTCTATTGATGCTGGTTGCTGGGAGATCTGTTGTTGCCGCTGGGAGTCTATTATTGTTGCGGAGGGTCCAATTTTGCTGGCAGGTCTATTGTTGTTGGGGATCTATTGTCACAGGAGGGGATCTATTTTTGTGTTGGGTTCTATTGTTGCTGGGAGGTCCTATTGTTGCTGGTGAAAATCTATTGTTGCTGGGGGATCAATTATTTCTGGGAGGGATATACTGTGGACGGAAAGGTCTATCAATGCTGACTGCAGGAGGGTCTATTGATGCTGACTTCTGGGAGATCTGTTGCTGCTTCTGGGAGTCTATTGTTGGCCATTTTTGCTGGCAGGTTTATTGTTGTTGGGGATCTATTGTTAATGGGGGTCTTTTGTTGCTACATGGGATATCTATTTTTGCAGCTACATGGGATATCTATTTTTGCAGGCTGCAGGGGCTCTATTTTACTGTTTTTATTGATATTATTATACAGGATTTATATGGCGCCAACAGTTTGCTCAGCGCCAGGGGCGGACTGACCATTTGAAAAATCGGGCACTGCCCGATGGCCCGGGATCAGTAAGGGGCCCCATGAGATGCCCCTGGTACCTTTTTCATTGGCTTTTTTGAGTTTGGGCAAGGACACAGGGGCCCCATGATCCCCTATTGCCCGGGGGCCCCATGAGTTGTCAGTCCGCCCCTGCTCAGCGCTTTACAATATAACGGGAGACAATACAGCAACAATACAGTTCAATACAAAAGGGAAAGGAGGGCCCTGTTCCTTGGAGCTTGTCATGAACAAATTCCATACAAATTACTTTGCACCACAAAATGATACTTGCTTCTGCATTCTCTAAAAGGGGCGGTTCTAAGAGGTGGGTAGGGGTGGAGCCAGGGGACAGAGACAAGGGGTGACTGAGACGGGGGGGGGGGGGGTTACTACACCTATTCTCGGAGAAAAAAAAAGCCCTGCGTAGACTTATTGGCTAGAAACTATAGTTCAGCATTTTGACAAAAGCATCTTCTCTCTGGGTACAAAGATGCATGAACTAGCCTTCTTTATTAGGCATTTATGCAACTTTTTTATTAAGCATATGAAGCATTGGAACTCAAAGACAAATGTATGCGTTATAAGGCATGGTTAGAAGGTGGGTTACATACAGGGGCGGACTGACCATTCAGGAACTCGGGCACGGCCCCGAGGGCCCGGGGTCAGTAGGGGGCCCCATGAGATGCCCCTGGTACCTTTTATAGGCTTTTTTGGGTGTGGTTTGAGTGTGGGTAAGGACACATGGGCCCCATGATCCCCTATTGCCCAGGGGCCCCATGAGTTGTCAGTCCGCCCCTGGTTACATAGTTGGTAAGGTGGAATAAAGACACCCTTACTGAGAGACTACCTGCTATGCTACCGAGGCTAAAGATTGGGTGAGAGAGTTCCATACCCAGCTCATCAC